GGATTTCCTGGATTTGCCCCAATTTCAGTGCTTGGATTTTCTGGATTCTCCCCAATTTTAGGCCTTGGATTTCCTTGATTCTTCCCCATTTCTGTGTTTGGATTTCCTGGATTCTCCGCAATTTTAGGGCTTGGATTTCTGGGATTTTCCCCCATTTTAGGGCTTGGATTACCTGGATTCTCCCCCATTCCAAGGCTTGGATTTCTGGGATTTTCACCAGTTTTAGGGCTTGGATTTCCCAGATTTCCCCCAATTTTAGGCCTTGGATTTCCTGGATTCTCCCCCATTTCTGAGCTTGAATTTCCTGGATTCTCTCCAATTTTAGGCCTTGGGTTTCCTGGATTCTCCCCAATTTCAGGGCTTGGATTTTCTGGATCTCCCCAGTTTCAGGGCTTGGATTTCCTGGATTCACCCCAATTTTAGGCCTTGGATTTCCCCCAATTTTAGGCCTTGGATTTCCTGGATTCTCCCCCATTTCTGTGCTTGGATTTCTTGGTTTCTCCCCCATTTCTGGCCTTGAATTTCCTGGATTCTCCCCAAATTCAGGGCTGGAATTTCCTGGATTTTCCCCATTTCTGTGCTCGGGTTTCCTGGGTTCTGCCCCATTCCTCCCCTGTGCCGCCATTTTCCCTTCTGCTGCGCCCCCCCTTCCATCCCCGCCCCCCGAGCTGAGCGGGAAAGGGACTGGGAGGAGAAACTGGTCCCAGTTCAGCCCCGGGCCAACAAAGATGGCGGCGCCCACGAGGAACATGGCGGCGCCCACCGGGAGAAAGGGCTCAAGCCCCGCCCCCTGCACGTGATTGGCTGCCGGGAGCCGGGGCGAGCCGAAGTGTTCCGGAAATAGCCGAGCGCCCGAATCGCCGCTTTGCGCCCCGCCCCTTTCCCCGGAAAGAGCCGAAGCGTTCCGGAAACAACCGAAGCGGGGTCGGAGCGCCGGAACGAGTCGAATTCCTGCCGGGAAAAGCCGAAGCGCCCTCAGGCCCGCCCGATTCGTTCCAGGACGTCCCGAACCGCCCCTTCCGGAGACCCCCCCGAGCCCCTCCCCGCCCCGGAGATCTCCGGAGGTTCCGGAAGCGGTTCCCCCGAGGCGGTTCCGCCGCCCCCCCCCCGCAACGGTTCCGAAGCGGTTCCGGAGGTTTGCCGAGAGGTTCCGAAGCCCCGCCGAGCGGTTCCGGAGAGCCGCGGGGCGGCCGCCGGGACATTGCCCAGCGGTTCCGGAGGGTCCCGAACCTCCTCGCCCATCTCCGGAGATCTCCGGCCGTCCCCAGAGCCACGAAACGCTTCCAAGCGCCTCCGAAGCGGTTCCGGAAAGAGCCGAAGTTGCTCCGTCGGAGCCGTCCCGGAAGTGGCCGAGGCGGCGCGGCGCGGTTCCGGAAAGAGCCGAAGTTGCTCCGCCGGAGCCGTCCCGGAAGTGGCCGAGGCGGTGGCGGCGCGGTTCCGGAAAGAGCCGAGCGGCTCCGGAAGTTGCCGAGCCGGCCGGCCCTCAGCGCTCGCCGCCGACCCCGGCCCGGCCCCCGCTCGCTCGGCCCCGGCGGGGCCCGGACCCGCCCGGCCCGGCCCGGCCCGGCCCGGCTCGGCAGGATGATCAAGCTGTTCTCGCTGAAGCAGCAGAAGAAGGAGGAGGAATCGGCGGGCGGCACCAAGAGCTCCAGCAAAAAGGCCTCGGCCGCGCAGCTCCGCATCCAGAAAGGTGCGCGGGGGGGGAACGGAACGGGAACGGGAACGGGAACTGGGACCAGTGAGGGATGGGAACTGGGACCAGTGAGGGATAGGAACTGGGACCAGTGAGGGATGGGAACTGGCACCAGTGAGGGACAGAAACTGGGACCAGTGAGGGATGGAAACTGGGACCAGTGAGGGACAGAAACTGGGACCAATAAGGGACAGAAACTGGTCCCAGTAAGGGCCTCAAACTGAGGCCAGTGAGGGACGGGAACTGGTCCCAGTAAGGGCCTGAAACTGGGGCCAGTGAGGGACGGGAACTGGGACCAGTAAAGAACGGAAACTGGGACCAGTGAGGGTCAGAAACTGGGGCCAGTGCGGGCTGCAAGCTGGTCCCAGTAAGGGATGGGAACTGGAACCAGTAAGGGCCTCAAACTGGGGCCAGTAAAGGTTGGAAACTGGGACCAGTGAGGGATGGGAACTGGGACCAGTAAGGGTCGGAAACTGGGACCAGTAAGGGCCTCAAACTGGGACCAGTAAGGGCCTCAAAGTGGGGCCAGTAAGGGCCTGGAACTGGGGCCAGTAAGGGACAGAAACTGGGACCAGTGAGGGATGGGAACTGGGACCAGTATGAGCCATATGCTTGGCCCAGTAATGGCCACCAACTGGTCCCAGTAAGGGCCTCAAACTGGGGCCAGTGAGGGACGGGAACTGGGACCAGTAAAGAACGGAAACTGGGACCAGTGAGGGATGGAAACTGGGACCAGTGAGGGTCAGAAACTGGGGCCAGTTAGGGCTGCAAGCTGGTCCCAGTAAGGGATGGAAACTGGAACCAGTAAGGGACAGAAACTGGGACCAGTAAGGGCCTCAAACTGGGACCAGTGAGGGACGGGAACTGGGACCAGTAAGAGCCACATGCTTGGCCCAGTAATGGCCACCAACTGGGCCCAGTAAGGGCCTCAAACTGGGACCAGTAAGGGACAGAAACTGGGACCAGTAAGGGACAGAAACTGGGACCAGTGAGGGATGGGAACTGGGACCAGTAAGGGACAGAAACTGGGACCAGTAAGGGCCTGGAACTGGTCCCAGTCAGGGCCCCAAACTGGTCCCAGCAGGGCCGGCAGTTCAGGGCCGTTAACGGTTCTGGGGGGGCCGGTACCGGTTCCGGGTACTGGTCCCAGTAAGGGGCAGGGACTGGTCCCAGTAAGGGGCAGGGACTGGTCCCATTAAGGGGCACAGACTGGTCCCAGTAAGGGTCACAGACTGGTCCCAGTAAGGGGCAGAGACTGGTCCCAGTAAGGGTCACAGACTGGTCCCAGTATGGGGCAGAGACTGGTCCCAGTAAGGGGCAGGGACCGGTCCCAGTAAGGGGCAGGGACTGGTCCCAGTAAGGGTCACAGACTGGTCCCAGTAAGGGGCAGGGTCTGGTCCCAGTAAGGGGCAGGGACTGGTCCCAGTAAGGGGCAGGGTCTGGTCCCAGTAAGGGGCAGGGTCTGGTCCCAGTAAGGGGCACAGACTGGTTCCAGTAAGGGTCACATACTGGTCCCAGTAAGGGGTGCAGACTGGTCCCAGTAAGGGTCACATACTGGTCCCAGTAAGGGGCAGGGACTGGTCCCAGTAAGGGGCAGAGACTGGTCCCAGTAAGGGTCACGGACTGGTCCCAGTAAGGGGCAGAGACTGGTCCCAGTAAGGGTCACGGACTGGTCCCAGTAAGGGGCAGGGACTGGTCCCAGTAAGGGTCACGGACTGGTCCCAGTAAGGGTCACAGACTGGTCCCATTAAGGGGCAGGGACTGGTCCCAGTAAGGGGCAGGGACTGGTCCCAGTAAGGGTCACATACTGGTCCCATTAAGGGGCACAGACTGGTCCCAGTAAGGGGCAGGGACTGGTCCCAGTAAGGGGCAGAGACCAGTCCCAGTAAGGGTCACAGACTGTTCCCAGTAAAGGGCAGAGACCGGTCCCAGTAAGGGTCACATACTGGTCCCAGTAAGGGTCACAGACTGGTCCCAGTAAGGGTCACAGACTGGTCCCAGTAAGGGGCAGAGACTGGTCCCAGTAAGGGTCACATACTGGTCCCAGTAAGGGTCACAGACTGGTCCCAGTAAGGGTCACAGACTGGTCCCAGTAAGGGGCAGGGACCGGTCCCAGTAAGGGGCAGGGACTGGTCCCAGTAAGGGTCACAGACTGGTCCCAGTAAGGGTCACAGACTGGTCCCAGTAGTGCCTTGCTGGGGACTGGCAGTGGGACCAGTTGCGGCCACATACTGGGACCAGTAAGGCCTTGGTGAGTGTCCCAGTTTGGTCCCAGAATGATCCCAGTATGACCCAATATGGTCCCAGTATGGCCCAATATGGTCCCAGCATGGCCCAGTTTAGTCCCAGTATGGCCCAGTATGATCCCAGTATGGCCCAGTTTGGTGCCAGTATGGCCCAGTCTGGTCCCAGTATGGCCCAGTCTGGTCCCAGTATGGCCCAGTTTGGTCCCAGTATGGCCCAGTCTGGTCCCAGTATGGCCCAGTATGATCCCAGTATGGCCCAGTTTGGTGCCAGTATGGCCCAGTCTGGTCCCAGCATGGCCCAGTTTGGTCCCAGTATGGCCCAGTTTGGTCCCAGTTGGGCTTTCCTGGGCAGGGATGGGCCAGGCAGGGGTGGGGGTCACGGG